ACCAGAGAGAGACCAGAGAGAGAGACCAGAGAGAGACCAGAGAGAGAGACCAGAGAGAAAGACCAGAGAAAGGCCAGAGAGAGAGAGACCAGAGAAAGACCAGAGAGAGAGACCAGAGAAAGACCAGAGAGAGAGAGACCAGAGAGAGACCAGAGAAAGACCAGAGAGAGAGAGACCAGAGAGAGACAGACCATAGAGAGCTGACCATAGAGCCTACTGTCTGACAAAAGGACAAAAAGACATAAGTTTCAACGCAGCTTCAGTAACAACAGTCTAGTTTAAGACAGATCTCCTCAAATCATATCACCATATAATTATTTTAGATTTTAGTTACTGACAACAACAACAATAACAACAGTGCTCATAATAAACCTATTGTGCTGTCCAGATGTCATTGCCATCCGCAGTGCAAATCAGAATACCAAAACAGAGGGCTAAATTGACATAATCAGCAATGTAATCTCACTGACTTGAACATTAAAACCCCTGCAAAGATTCTTTAACAACAGGATAACAGTGACAACCCGATTAGCTTTGTTAGAGCTGTTTGTGGGATTGATATTCAAACGTAGCATTACACATTTCGGCCACTAGGTGTCAGCACAGATCTATTAGAAAGGCGCGCTCACGGCACACACGCTCAAACTTTGATCAGAGTTTTTAACGCACTCTGGCAGCCCTCCTCAGCCACAACATAACTTTTGCATGCTCACAAAATTGCACAAAATAGTATAACATATATCCAATCATTTCTAACCCTATACGTCAGCGTTTGGGTCAGCTCTGCAGACGTCACGCTGTTAACACGTCGCTGATTGTGAGCAGCCGTAAAAAGTATGCGAGATAAGAGAAGAACAGAGATGAACTGTGTGTACTGAGCCAGTCCCGGTCAGAGGGTCAGAGCCCAGATAAAAGTGCGCATGGTCCAGACTCCTGATACAGCTCTGACTGTGAGGCAAAGGTCCAAGTGAAAGCATGACGCGGGGTTTCTCTTGTGGGAGATAAAAAGCTCTTTCTTTTCATCCTGAGAGCGAGAAACAATGTAGCAAGAGGCCCCAGGAGAAACATGTTAGATACTTTATCATGGATCATACTATTTTTGATTGCTCCCCCTCTCTCTCTCTGTACTATACTATTTTTGCTCCCTGCCTATTTCTTTTCTTTCTCTATACTATTTTTGCACTCTCTCTCTCTACTGTACTATCTTTGCTCTCTCTCTCTCTCTCTCTGTATACTGTACTATATTTGCCCTCTCTCTCTCTACTGTACTATCTCTGCCCCCCCCCCTCTCTCTCTCTCTCTATACTGTACTATATTTGCCCTCTCTCTCTCTCTACTGTACTATATTTTCCCTCTCGACCCCTCTCTCTACTCTCTACTGTACTATCTTTGCTCTCTCCCTCTCTCTCTCTTTCTACTGTACTATCTTTGCCCTCCCCCCTCTCTCTATATATATATGCTGAGCCAGTGGATGTCATTCATCTGTAAATGAGGAAATGCTGCAATCATGTGCAATGTGCAATACTGCAACTTCAGAATGTCCACCGAACAATGTCACTTTAGCTACTTATTATCCTGCCCCATATGTACAGCATATAACTCTGCACTACATATACTTTTGAAAGACTAGTATAAGTATTTACAGCTAGCTAAGAAACACAGCAGCTACTCACTTATGTATATTTTGTGCTCCCGGTGTGCTCTTACTATTGTCCTGTATGTGCGCTACAACATTGAAATTTCCCCACTATGGGACAAATAAAGAATCTTATTCTACAATTTTTGCTCTTTCTCTGTCTGATTACCCAATAAAAATGGTGGGTGTTACATTTTACCCACATTTATGTATGTATTCAAAAGAGGTCTGCAGTGTGGAAGGTGTTGGAAACCGCTCAAACAAACACATTTAGACAGTGAGAAACAGGAAATCCTCTTATTCACGCTGGGTGTCTTTCTCTTTTTTTTTCTAACACTATAGTTTTAGCTCCTTTTGTGAAAGTATGAATAAGTCATGAAGTTAGGAATAGTCAAACTCCAGGGACTTGCAAATGCTGGATGTGAAAGAGAATAATAGAACTGCTGATTTTATGATTTTACAGACATTAACCCTTTAACATTCACCCATATATACTTTTTTTATTATAGGCCTTTACCAAATGGTTGCAATGCATTTGGATGATGAAAGTTCCTTAAAGACCAATTAGTTAGACTTCAGTTCCACGTTTCAAGTCTATAGTGACTCTTTTTACACTGGTCAGAATCTTCCTGGGACAAAGCAAAGACAGGCCTGGTAAAAATGGAGCAGCAGAAAGAAATAGACCTGCTTCAGATGCCACGATCATGTACTCAGAGGGAAAACATCCTTGTGCCATATAGACTAGCAGATGTACACAGCATGGGAGTGGGCGGGTGAGACTGGGGGGGGGGGAGGCGGGGGTTTGGTCCTTCGCATTGGCATGACTTAAAACGATGCTTCTTAGAAATTCTACTTGTTTTTCTTAGTGACAGGTGTTGGAGACTGAGGAGTCACTTAAATCAGGGATTAGGACCTTCTTCTTGAACCTCTGAGATGAAAAATGACTACACATGGTAAGGACACACTTCTGGGCAGGAGTGTGGTGATGACGAGGGTAAAAGGCTCCACATCTTCAGGAGAACTGGGTCACATGTTTTCAAGGGACTATTACAAAGGTCTTAAGGACTTTGTTTTTGTGTTTTCTATAAAAGCATAAAATGTCTCTCAAATCATGTGAAATTCCAATTATTTTTAAATGACTGAAAAAATCTAAAGTACAGTATATTTAAGGGATACTGAATTGCCATTGGTCATTGTGAATGTGTTTCTATATCAGTTTTTTAAAGTAGTCCCCTGGTTCTCATCCCCATGTAAAGTCCACTCGTGACAGAAAGATATTAATTTGTAGGTCAGAAGACATTTCAAAGAATCGCTTGAAGAATTAAACATTAGCTTCTGATTAAGTGTGACCTGCAATTAAATGGAAAAACACAGATTTGACTCAGACATCCATAACTTGTGTAATAATTTACACACAACTAAGAAAAACTGCTCATGAATAAGAACTATCACTCATCAGTTATTACTAAATCTCATGTAAGTGAAATGTCAAACTACACTTCTATAGAGTGACTTTTCTGACTAAGTCTCCACCTTTTGCTCAGAACTTTTCAGTGCGACAAACGCCTTCGAACTGCCCAGGCTCCGGGTCACGTCTGTGGAGAAGCACCCTTAGTGACAAAAACTACAAAATGATTCAGTTAAAGTCAACTTTATGACACTAGGTCCAATTATGTCAGGCAAAGAAATACCATCGCCATGGAGACAAGGATGAGAAACTAATTCCACATTTTGAATAAACCTTGATTTTAACTAGAGGATTAATTGTATTGCGCTATAAAATCCCACTGCATTGTAATGTTTTCATAAAAATGAAATGAGACAAATGTCACTTCCTGTCCCAATCCCTAGTCTCTAGATTGTGAATTCACCCTTTATGGTTTAGCTTATGGCGTAAATGCAGTGATCCAAGCTCCATTTCCAAGAACATGTTTTTATGCCATGTAGGTCAACAGTGTGAGAAAACCAGTTTAACACGTTTGTTTGTTACTGTGTAACAGCGTTGGTGGCAGAGATCAAAATAACAGGAACATTAACAGATCATCAAAACTTACCAATTTGGAACTGTACTTTGGTCCAACTGTTTATGTGTCAAGCATGTTAAAGTTTAACTGTACTGTAAAGCTGAGGTTTTGCACAACTCCTTTCAAAACAACTTTCCAAGTCTTCAGCCTAATGCCATTAAAACGCCCGGGGCCTGGAGAGAGCGGAGTCTAATCAATAGCCCTTGTTTTTAGCCTTTCTAATCTCAAGCCAGTGGAGCCTGTCAGGCCTCATCAGCACACACTGCATGGACCAGACCCACCGAGACAAATGACAGCCCAACATTTCACAAGTCTGATCCAGAAGAGCACATCCAGATTTTCACTTGCACAAAGACACAAAGATGAAAGGTTGTCTTTTCAAAAGAAAACTTTATTAATACCTTCTTCCTTTGTTAAAATACAAAAGAATTCTAAGAGTTACTCTCATTGAAAGAGCATAGTGGCGTTTGCTTCAGAAAACAGAAACAATTTGCTACTTTTACAATGTGATAAAATAAATCAAAGTTCCCCTGTAGTCACAAGAGAGTTTTCCTTTTCCCAAAGTCTGCAGAAGTTTAGGATAGACTCGGCATTGCTGCTACATTAAGCCCAACTCCAACAGAAACAAGGAAAACTTCCTTGGTAAAGTGACAATGTTTTTTTATATATCGTTTTTGAATTTAAATAAAATTAAAAGCTTTTCAAAAGCAGTATTGCACAAATAGATAGTCTGTACCCTTTCAATTATCCGAACAACTCAAGTACGGCCCAGAGAGGACTAACTGGAGGTTTACAAAGACTACAGCCACTGCATGACCAGACATCTCCAACGTGAACGATCCACATACTGGTTTGGCTTCATGGTCAGTTACGTCGGTAAAGACCCTTTGAGACCCAGGGTCGCAGCACTGGGACCATGTTTCAGTGAGTTATTAGTATGCAGTGCCCCGTGCAGGCAGTACTGCCTCCCTTTGAATACCCCTTATTGGCATGGAAATGTAGAACACATAAGAAATTAAATATAAAAAGCATCTTACTAGACACACAGTAAAATTCAGTTGTGACAAGCTTTAAAATGGCAGCATTGAAATAAAATATATAGTATAAAATATAGGAGTTGTTTGGCCATGGGCCTGATATAGACTGATCAGATCAACTGATACAATAATTTAACAAAAAACAAGACTAATTTAAAATCTAACTGCAAAAAGGAAGTGTTTAAAACAAACGTACATATGATGAAGACCGAGTGTTCAAGCACACAGGAGTTGGAGTGGTTGAATCACTAAAGTATTTGCTTGTCCATAGTCTTTGAGAGTCCAGTGACTAAAGGGCAGCTCTCACATGTGAAAGATCTTGTGCTCGTAGTCGGGGCAGCTGTGGGGAGAAGCCATGTCTCTGCAGATGGGAGCTGGGATGTTGTTGCGGTGTTGGTGGTTGTCTGTGAGGGTGAGGCTGAGCAGACTGGTGCATGTGGGTAAATACACATGCTGCACATGCTCCACGTCTGACCGGCACACAGGACACAGCTGTGGACACAGAGGACATTTTAGTTATAGAATATACTTGAGCCATTTTCACACTGCAGACTTGTGTTTTTGGACCATTATTCAAATGCTGAGCTTAGTTAGGTTAGCATTACCCTATACATGTGTTGCTGCAAGTAATCCTGCTATGAACACAATGCGTGTTTAGACAAAAAAAAATGTCAAGCGTCAATGCACTTATCCACATGCAGCCATATAAACATTTTCAAACACTTTTAGGAGGACAGATTTATAATGGAAAGAACAGCGCGAGGCCGTGGGCAGAAGGGGAGCGGCATGTGGGCAGATTGAGAAATTGAAAAGAAAATTCCTTTAAGTTTTCAAAATTAATAAAAAGGAACCTGTATCATGACAATAAATTAAACAATTCAATTTTTTTTTCCAAGAAATGATGTATATAATACTAAATTGTATTTTCTGTTGTCCTCACTCCATTGGTAGTTAGAGTGTTTATGGTGGGGGTAAGAGTTCAAACATCTGTATGCAGCTGGGATGAGTTACTATAGCCGTGCATTATGGTATATCCAGTTGGAGTGGAAGCCTGTTCCCTTAACCAACCTTACTTTTTAGCTTTGGGACAGACAATTAACATTTTGCAACTTTTAGCAAAAATACATTTAATAGCCCTATAGTTGAAATAATATCTTTATATATTCTAGAAGATTTTGATACAAAACACACAATAGTTTCATAATATGTGCAGTAAATGATTATAGGAAAGTAAATTACTGCTATATTTACACTGAACACGGCTCAGCAAAATGACTGTCGAAAAGAGTGATAATGTAAAGGCAGCGCATCGAAGGCAACAGTAGGCAATAGGGCTAAAACACAAAAGTAATAAACTTAATTATTTGGAAAGAACTGCCCCACTTGTATGAAGACTGAATTATGGGATCAATATATAACTTTAATATACATTTCTCATAAATAAGTTATGACACTACTTCATTAGCCAGGACAGGTTTTCTATTCAGTGATTGTTAAGGATCTGCCTGTGTCCATAATCCTTTAATAACACTCACACCATCTGTTAAGACGGACATCATTTAGCTGATTAAGAGAGGGCAGTGAGGCCAGCAACACTTCAGATCTCTGAGTGCATATTATGTTTAATGTTGTATTCATGAGCACGTTAGAATTGAGTTGAATTGTTTCTTCTGATGACTAGTCTACAGTCTCTCACCTGAAGCTGGCTGGCACACGTCTGGCAGCACACCATATGACCACAAGGACAGAAGGCCGCGTCGATCTCCTCCTCACAGCAGAGCATGCAGAGCAGGGCCTCTCGGAGCTTCTGCAGCCGCTCCTGGAGCTCGCGGCTCTGTTGGCAGCTGCCACAGTCCAGCTCCTCCTCCAGCTGATGGTCCCGTGTCGGAGACCGTGAGGGAGAGGAGCGCTCCCCACTGTTGTTGCGAGACACCAGATCCACCACTCCAGAGTTGTACAGTGTCCGCCGGGCGTGGTCGTACACTTCCTTGGCTGTCCGCCGGATGTCAAACACATATTTCTTGCCCAAGTTTATGTTTTCATTTAGAAAAAGTGATGCAAGATGTCCCTTAAAATCTCTGCTGTACTGCATCATGACAGCGTTAGTTACTGTGTCACACCTGAAAAGAAAACCATCCATTTATAATGCTTTTCAAAATAAACAATATTAATACATTCACTCCATCTTTACAAAGTGAAGCATGATATGGTGAGAAATGCTCACCAGAAAATGTTCAGGTAAACGCTTAAACAAAAGGCCAGCCTGTCTTTTGTATGCCACTCTTTGTCACTGACAGCAATTTCATAGCTCAGCCTTTTGAATTGTCTCAACTGAGGTGGGTCACTTATGCTCCTAAAACTGAGCGCTATGAAAATATTGTTTGTTTTTGCGTTGTTAAAAACCTAATCTTTTTGCAGTTTGCAATAATTTACAGTTACTGTAAATTATCTTTCATACAACGCTGGTTAACGTTTAGCAGACAGTCCAGAAGATAAAGCGTTTCTGGAGCCGTGGACTCACCTGTAAAAAGCATGCGTCTCCGTGATGGCTCTGTACAGACCGCTGGCAGCACGGTTACTGATGAGTTTGAACAGGAGCACCATGCTGTCACTGTTATCCTTGGTAACGGTCAGATAAACACTTTTACCCGACTGTGTGGCAATCTGGATGAGGGGGTAGCTTATTCTAATAAGAGGAGAGAGAGTTCCACTTTAGTATACCTCAAACACTGAATTATACAGGATACACACACACTTTAGTGCAATACTCTTGGCAACAGCTAATCTACCTGTTTTCTAAGGTGAAGTCCTCTTTGCAAATGGCGATGCCCTCAGGACCGACCCCTATGGCCAGCCTCTGTCCGTTGGCATCCCTGGCCCAGTGCCACTCCACCCCGTAGTGCTCCAGTGAGGAGATTAGCTGCAGTGCCTGGTACTCCACTGACGCCTGGCTCAGGTCCTCCAGGCCTTTGTGTCTGCTCACAATACTGCAGACAGAGTACAATGAGTTATACTCTTACATTTTCAAAAACAAATAACTTTAAAAATAGAGGGTGTTGGTCCAGATGTTTACATAGCTCTCACTAGCACAGAAGCTCCATAAGAAATGTTATTCACAACAATCATCCACAATGAAAACTAGCAAGACAGAATGTGCGAAGCTGCTACAAGACTGAACCCGTCTGTCGCTCTGGGATTTGGGTAATATTGTTCACAATCTTGATTGTAAATTCGATATTATTAAGGCTGCATTAATAAGGCTGTGTTCATATCTTTGTCCAGATATTGGTTAGTTCCTGTTCTCGTCCCAGGATACGAACAATACTAAAGACAAGAGAGGACATTAATCTGCAAATCTTGAAACAATTCCAGCTTGTAAAGAGATGCCCAATTTGAGTTTATTTGGCATTTGTTTACACTGGTGATTTAGTACGATAAAGACAGTTCTTCTCTGGAGTTGAGACACCGCTGGAAGCTAGCATCCTTCCATTACCCCCAGTTTCACATGTTACAATAAGTATCTCTATAGCTGCTGAATGTCAGACTTTACATCTACTTCAATAAAACCCATAAAAATCAAAAGAATGACATGGCAGGAATGGTCAGATTTCCCCATAGAATGTACCTGTCTAATGTGTCCTGGCTGGGCTCCTCCCCACACAGCTCCGAGTACCAGTACTGTGCTGTGTTCTGGTTGTAGTCCCCAAACTCTGCCTGAGCCAGCAGCGCACTCAGCTCTACGGCCTGATCACAGCCCATCCGCAGGTGACCGCTGTGGAGGTCCTCCTTCACGTGCATGAAGAAGAGATGCCTGTGGACACATGAAGAGGTTAGGAGACAGAAAGCAGATACTGGAACATAACCAATAGCAAACATTTTGTTTCCCTTTTCTTTACAAGACTATGCACAGCACTAGACATTTTCAAAACATTACATTATTCAACTAAAACACAGAAATGCAATACGTTTGATGTTCTTGAGGACACATTTTGATAACTCTCCACCCTCCCCATGCTCCCTCCATCCTAAACAGATGAACTGTAGTAACCTCTGCAGCTCCTCCCGTGGGATGACCTCTGGTCCACTAACCTTAAGAAGATTGAAGAGCTACTTGTTGCTGCAGCCACAAACCTGTTCATCAGCTTTACATCGTCCCTCCAACCACAACAACAGTCTGTTGATATTTCATGCTGTGTGTTTAGTACAGCCCAAAAAGTTCTAGCCAAGATTTTTGACGATTAATATTTTGGCTTGCCGCACCCTGATGTGCCAGACTGAAATGAAACCGACTCTGGGCTTGTTTTTCTCCCTTGGCCTTGAGGCAACAGTGTATTGCTGAAGATTTGCTTTGAGTAATTTCACTCCATAGGGGAGAACTATAGAGCATAGTTTTGACAGTATTTACTTTAAAATCATTCCACCTTACACTATATTGCTCTGCTGTTATGATTCTTTGAGAGCTCAAATGAGCTCTGGGATTGGGAACAGACAGGACGGGAGAATAATGACGTGATGGTCCTTATAGAGTTGGCTCTCGGGCTGTTGGGAACAGGCCTCACAAGGCGGCACATGATGCACATCGTACTGTACTGTGTCCACCAGGACATTCCTCCCCAAATGAAACCCCCACAGCCTAAAAAACTGATCAACAGAAGCAGAAATGTGCAGCTGTGAGGCACACGATCTCCACCCCAACAAAGCCTTTGACCATAACAACCGACAGGCCCCAGGCATAACAAACAGTGCTTTGATATGGTGTTAACATCCCCGTTCCCTCCGATGAACGAGCGCATACAAAACAGGTCGCTCCATTGTATCGGCCCAGCAGGCGTCATGTGATGCGGCCGGGCTGGTTTAGATACCTGCCTGATGCAAACAATAGGGCTGACTCAAATGCCAGGTTACTACAGTTCGAACGAGGAGGGTTACTGTAGGACAGGCACGGGAGGTTACTCCTGTTTATTAATTAACAAGAATTTAATTAAGCTTTGCCAATTACCTCACTGATTTCATGTTTATCTTCTGAGGATGGATTTTAAAGAGTTCAATAATGCATGCAAATTTAATTAAATATAATGTTACAATTGCATTAAATTGTGTGTCTGAATAGTTTAGTACTACTCACTTCATTGACCAAATGAAACTCAGCCCCTGGACCTCAAGATCTCACAGCACAACAGTATCTTTTGTGTCTAATTATCCAGACTATGGTGACATTTCAGAATCTGTTTGAGAAAGAATACATAAACAAAGAATGGAATAGATTAGCTAAGATGGAGGTCACCAGAGTTCATGGTTATGAGATACATAGGACAGAACATAATACAGCTGTCACACACAACAGCTTTAACTAGGATCTGTGAAGCTTTATGAGACAGCTGCTCTCCTACACCCGTTTGTATTTGTTAAAAACAAAAACGAAAAACTGTCAGTGAGTCGAGACTGACAGCGTTAATGCTTCCAACAGCCCTCAGGTCGTCTTCACCAATATAACCATGAGGGGATTCTTGTATCCCCTTCTCCCCAACTCAAAGTATCAACCACAGCAATGAGCCTGTCTATACCGTTAACAACTTCTTTCCTTCAGCAAACCAACAGACTGAAGAGGTATTCTGCACACCGTTCAGCACTAGAAACAAAACTTATCCAGAAGGGGTCAGCTACAGGTCCGGGAATGTCAGGCTAGTTAAGTCAAAACATGTAAATGTTGAGAAAGACAATAAATGTAGCCAAGTTTTCTAAAATGTACATCTTAGACAATTACACCATATACATGACTTTCAATGCACATAAGTTTCTAGCTGTGAGATTTTTCCTTAAAAAGAAGAGTTCCCAACCAAGCCATTGCTCGAAGGAACAAAAAGTTCCTTGCAAAGTGAAACTCAATGCCTCCTCCTGGAGACTGTTGCTTGCTCTGGCCAATCAGCAGAAGAGCTCAGCCTGCGCTCTGAACAATGCGGTTTGTGAGCTAGTCAAATAACTCTGGCCAGAGGCAGTGTTGGAGGTCACTATCGGGCAATGCACTATAGTAACCTACAAATTTGCCCCACATGGAATGCGTGATAGTATAAAGAATACTACAGTTAACTTTCAAAATCAGTAAAAAGATACAAGAGCTAATAATGGTTGTTCACTTGCAGTTTGGTTGTATGTACGGCTTTGTCTGAAAATTAAACTTACTTTTCGTTTTGACCATTGCAGTTTCTATGCATGATCTCAAATCACCAGTAAATTGTATCCCGCTTAATAGTAAGTGGATCAACATTGTGCAACTGGGCTCACACCGCATTTGTCTCAAATCCTTAAAAGCAGCAAGGGTTTAGACGACAGTAATTACACAAGACAGAGGGAACAGGCCGACTGTCAGCAGAGTAATTAAGCTCTGATGAGAATTGAGAGCTTGGAAGTATTTAAACCAAACACTTCACTGTTCGGGGCAATCTGGTCTTCTGTCCAGTCCATCTGAATGCAGTCATGGCATTCCATTAAAAACAATGTGTAATCACAAAAGGACAGAAGGACAATACAAGAGGGCTGATGCTGAAAAGTAAAACATTTGATTTGGAAAGTGTAAAAGTTGTGCCTCAAAGGGTTAATGCAGGGTCCCCCTGGCTGATCGTGTTGCGTGGGAGGGTGCGAGCTCTGTCCTGATCTGAATGTCAAACAGTGAAGCTAATGAAGGGAAACATTCACATATTTAACTCAGAGTAAATGGACCTAATGGAGCAGATAACAGGCTGTTGTGATGGTTTCCCCCTGGTTTTACTGTGAAAATGGAAAACAACATAAGAACATGGCAGGCGTGCTAACTAATCCCAATTAGATGTTTTAATTAGCATGGCTGACTCGTTTTACTTAAAGAAAAGTCAGCTCTGAAGCAGATAAAGAAAACACAATGTACTGAATAATCGACATTTGTATGCGTGAACAAACTGTGACCCATTGGGGTTTACGTGGCAGGCCTTACGTAAGACGTTCTGAGCGCTGGGTCCAGCGGTGCTTATGTAATTCATGTATGGAACAGAGGCCCGCCCCCCACTCTGCACATCATATATTTCAGCTACGACACTTGTTCCAACTTGAAACATATGGGTTAGATACAAGAACGTGTGCCACGTGATTAAATGTGCCGGGGACAACTAATGAGACGTTGGAGCATCACATCCTTGGATCAAAGTTGTTTTCATTACTGCTGAGAAAAGGCAGATCAGTGTTTATAGACAACACAGGTCTGACTGAAGATGGTGAACATGGAGCAGCCTCTGAGAAAGTGGGCTCGAAAGTAGGTCAAAGGTAAGGAGAAAGGAAAGATCCTTTATTCATCCCACAGAGGGAAATCTCCACTCACCATTAACAGCAACAGAAAAGAGTTCAACAAACGTTAAGTGTTAGACAAGTCTCATGCCTCGTCTAAACGTGTACAACATTTTGCTGTCCTACATTTGACGTTGTGATACTGAATCACTTTGATGTTCAGAACATGAAGATTAACATTTCAAAGTGCATCATCTCTAGTTATATTCAATCTTTACCTCACCTTATAAACAACCCTAGTGACCCCCACCCCTCTCACTGCAGCCTGCCGTCTGCCATCTGTTGATAAACCGAGCTAATCTCAGGAGGTCAGGCAGCCAAGAGGCCGCCATCACACCCCCACAGCCTTTCACTTTTCTTTATAATGGTGCAAAACTCTGTGCCAACGACAAAGAGGAAGTGTAAGAAAAAAGGTTCATTAAAAACCTCAAACTGCCAGTTCAAAACCAACAGAGCAACACAGAACAGCATATTATTTTATGATGTAGTTTTCCATGAAAGGTTTCTCAATGTGTGAACGGTATAAAAGAAAGATGCAACACCTAGAGCGAAACTGTCTGCATCATTTGTTCAAACTGCAAATGTCTCACAAGTGAAACAAAAGCCCAACAGAAGTGTTTGGGTCTGAATGGTGCAGTGGCAGAGGTCTTGGAGACTGAAGTCCCCAGGGAGCGTCACAAAGCGACCCACAGCCTCAGAGCAGCAAGATCACATTTCCTGTCTCTCTCCAATGAACTATAGTAACCCAGGAAGGAGCCTGCAGAGGTTACTAAAGGCCATATCTGCTCAACCAGGAACAAAGTGATGAGATTAGGCCCTGGACAACTATGGCTTTGTTGTTCTGCAACACGTGCTCTCTGGTGCATTCCACATGCCACCAAAGTGTCAGTCTATTTTTCCCCTGGTAGTGGACACGCTTTAGGCTGCTGTAAATTAGGATGCAGACTTTGATCGGGTCTGATGTGTGACATGAAATCTGATTTATTAAAAAACCTACCTCGTCTGCTCCTGGAGAATGAGATGGGGCTCAACAAAGAACTTTACTCGGAGCCGCAGTCGACATGGAGTCACATTGTCCATTTGTTGGCAGATGCGGTTCCTCAGATTTAGCCACAGATTCTCGCCCTTGCTGCCGGTGAACTGCAGCCCGAAATAGTCCACTTCAATTATGCCCAACTTTCTGCAAACCTGGACAGACAAAGACAAAAATCACGCATTGGTTTTATATAGCATAGCATTGAGACTCAAAGATGGTTCACATGACAGTCCTCCATGTACATCATGCATGCGAGCTGGCTTCAGTAGTAACCGCAGCTGCCCCGAGGCTGAAGCAAGGCAACCGATCTGTGCCATCAGCCTGTGACCACCACCAATTACTCTCATACTCAGACTCATAAAAGGCTGTGTGTGATGTGTCTTGCCTTGGACACAACAGTTGGAGAATTGGGGAATTGCTTAAGTAACACCAACACGTGTCAACTCGTCTCAGTACATAAAACTAATTTAAAATCCACTTGATCACATTATAAAAAGGTGCAACTTTCCTGATCGGTCCACTCCACTCACTTGTTGCCATGGAGCCATGTCTTTGCTTGGATTTTACCCCAGTATGATATGAAACATGTACAGTATTAAGAGATATTTTACGATTCAATAAAAGAGTTGATACATTGGGTCTGTTTTATTTGCAAATATGATCTGTAACTATCAGTGCTATGAGACTTGGGTGGCATCTCTGATTGCCACCCCCCTGACCCAGAAATAGATTAAAGGGTAGAAAATGGATGGATGGATCTGTAACTGATGAAGTCACTGGATGTCTCCAGTGTGAAAAGACATTTAATGCTATAGTGTGGATCATTACCCAACCAAAAAGTAGATCATTCATTAGGAAGGTTGCATAGTTTCCTATTCTAGGAGTTGGAACCACAAATATAACACTGATTATAAATGCTGATAAGGGTACAGTACAGTTATATAAGAGGAACCAGGTAACTCTGCAGCTGTGGCACAGATTATTGGGGGTCAGAACAGTCTATCGCACTTTGCACTCTTGGAATCCCTCGTCCCGCCGTTCACATGCAGATAAAGCCTCGTCAATGATCTCCCATTTGACGGGGACTTTGAAGAGCGGGTAAAGGGGTTCATCTCTCCCACGCCCCCTCCACCTCAGCCGGCTCTAGGCCTATTACGTAAGGACTGCTGCTTCGGGAACCTCCAGCAGCAAGTTCGGGTAAAAAAAAAAGAAAATCCCATTCATACCCGGAGCGAGTTTGGAAATAAGCCATGCCTAACAGAGGATTTACAGTAGGATGAGAACAACACTTGGCAAAAGCTCAGGAAGAGAGGAAGTTGCAATAGTGCCCCACACGTGTGCACATTAAAGGCAGGAAGGAAGAAGAACGAAATAAAAGAAACCCATAATCAGCCCCTGCAGGAAAGATAATAGCACCAGCGATCTCCCCACAGACACAAAAATGGGCGAAAAAGTTGTTTGAAGAGAATCAAAGACAAGGACGCGCGCACTTGGGGATAGGACGTTTTCTTGCTCCGTAAAAGCTGCAATACTATTCAAGAGCCAAAGTGTTCTGCCATGATGGTTGAAATTAATGAACAAACTGCAGCATGTCTTTTATGAATTAAAATAAAAAACATAAAAAAGTAAAAACGTTTGAGGAGACGAACGATCAAATTAAAATTATAGTTTTGCGCTGGGATTAATTCCTACAAAATGATTTTTAATTGCAGTTACGTTAGTTTAAAAGCAGCACATTACGTTACCTTGTTTAGACAGTCTTCTCCGTTCGCCTTCGCATCAACTTCCACTTCCATCACCACCGAGTCCGGGCGTGTGATGTGGCAAAGCATTTTGGTGGTTTTCTTTGGTGTGCCACTCTTCAAATCGATCAAACCTGTTCTCTGTCCTACTCAAAAAGCCCCCTTCATGAATCCCCCGTCACTTTCTCAGACCTTTCTCTCTCCCTCCGTGTGGCAAAGCTGATAGACCGGAGCCTCCAGCTGTAGTCTATATCAATCACCTCCCACTTTAGCTCGTCCAATCACATGAGCGGACACTGAAGCGCTCAGCCAATGGGAAGTGCCGTGGTTTGCATACGGAGCAGCGCGTGCACCGTGCGCCCCCTTCTGTGCTTTCTGAACTTCTCAAAGGATACTTATTGTCGCAGTGTTTTCTGCACTTCTATGGTGAGTAAAAGGTAAATACTCTAACATTCTACTACATTTATGGACATTTATCAACATTTCATGGACATTGGTCAACTCCCCCAATGGACCAATACCTAACTGTGTGTTCTATATGTTGTGTGTGTTTGATTCTCTGATCTGTGTTGGCGATTTCAACGGTTTTGTTAAGTCATCTGAGATTGCCAGTGAGATTGCACTGGCTTCCTGTGGCTCAGAGAATAGACTTTAAAACAGCTCTGCTTGTGTTCAAGTCTCTCCATGGCCTCGCACCAAAATATATTAGTGACATGTTAGTCCCATATGAACCAGCCCGGACTCTGAGGAGCACAGGGACTGGACTCCTGTGCCCAGAGTCAGAACTAAACATGGGGAGGCTGCTTTTCAGATTCATGCTGCTAAAATCTGGAGCAATCTTCCTGAAGATTTGAGACAGACCTCCTCTCTGACAAAGTTTAAAACCAGGTTAAAAATAGTTCTGTTTAGCTGTGCATACAACTGAGGGATTTTATATTTTTATCTTTCTTTTTAATGTTCTGTGATTATTTATGATTGTAATGCTTTCTTGTTTTATTCAGCACTTTGAATTGCCTTGTGTATGAATTGTGCTATACAAATAAACTTGCCTTGCCTTGCCTACTACTGTTGCGATTTAGGGCTAGACAAGCAAAACATTGAATTAAAATTGTATAGGAGGATTTTCCCAAATTTTAGGAAAGCGCTCTCTCCATTTTTTTAACAAGCACGTATCACCAGAATGATTGACAGTTAGGAGGACCAATAGTCTTGGTGATCCACCAGGAAGTAGAAAATCCTCCTATTTGTACAGTTCCTCGATCACCATGTGAATAATGTATGAAGAAGTTCTCCAAAATAGACAACTGCATGAAGCCTTTTAACTCTGTCCTCTTTCCAACTTGCGTTAATATTTCATGTGACTCATATTCGCCTGGGCTACGTTTCCGCATAGTAAAAAAGTGTATATTGTATTTGAATTTTGACAATAGTTCAGCTGTGAATATTCAACTCGTATACTCAAAACACAAGCAAGCAGACTTTTTAAAAATATTTTTTTTTAAATTATTTTTTAGACAAATAAAAACTACAACATGCACTCGGAGAGCACATACCCCCAACACCACGGATCATCTCGACAATTTAATGATGTCTTTCCACTGCCTCCTACAAATCAATACACCAAATCCGTAAGCTCAATCCGTCCAGTAGTTTTTGTACAATCCTGCCAACAGAGAAACATACAAAATTGTGTAATTATGTGATCGTATACCTGAATAAACATTTAAATAATCAAATAAATAACCTCCTAATAATAAGCAGTGAATCCGAGGGGCAAGCATTATTGAATACCACTATCCCTGATCTCTACTGATCTTATACTTGCCGTTCAAATAGTGTTCGCTTTTTCACGACACAACCATGTAGACCACTTTTCAGTATTCTTGATAAAACATATTTTCTACTCTATAGTTACTCACTGCATTATTCATCAGTGTTGTAGAGTTCTGAAGGAAGGCCGTGATCTGGACCAATCTGGGCACTGCGGAAATCTTCACTCACCATGAAAGATGCAAGACGCCCAGCCAAGTATTCTTCTGCCAGGGGACATTTTACTGATGTATGCGCCTGGCCAAGGTTTGTACTCTTCCTCAGTCCTCGCACTTCATCATTTAATATAATACTGTGATGTTACTGTAACCTGCAACACCCGCAACTATATCTTTTCTATGCCATAAACTATGATACTTAATTAAGATGAGTGTGGATAGACTCTGCAAACCATTGGTAAGCAAAAAATATCTACATGTTTTCTCAAGAAATAGCTGGAATATTAATCTGCTTTGAAAGACATTTGGAAATGATTTGTTTTGGGGTAAAAAGTGAAAAAAGTTATAAATTGGGTTTAACTTGAGTCATGAGTCATTTTCTTTTTTACAGCAGCTTTTGGTGAGAACTCCCTTGTTTTCCTGCTGGTTGTCTGTTATTGATTTGTTCTTCTAGGATTCAGTTTTGTCTATGGTCCCTTGTGTATTATGCTCTGCTGTGATAGTTGTGCAGTGAGCAGCGAGTCGACAGTGTCCTTTTGGTCTGAGGTGATGTAAGTCATGTTCCTCTGTGCAGCCTGATGTCCATACATGGCATCCAGGGAGCGCAAGAGTGACCCAACATGGGCAGTCTGCGTGGGAGCACGAGGAGTACGAGGAGCACGAGGAGCACGAGGAGCACCAAAACCTTAACATCATGTACATTATCCTAAGGTCTGGACAACATACACATACACAGTGCCCCAGTTTACACCAGCACTTTGATGGACAGGTTTCTTTATGACTTTATTATCTGCACCTTTATCAAACTCCTTTTCTCAGGGCCTCTAAATTGCAAGTTATTCCATAGATTTTCCTGGAGACAAATTACTTCAAAACTGAGTCAGTCTGGGACTTTACAGCAGCATTATATAATGAAAACCAAGAGCATAATAAAAGAGTTACTTCATCGTGTAATAAAACTATATAGTGAAATTATTGACCAAATTTGTACGGTTAACTAAATACATTATTCGACCAAAGAGTGACTCTGTGTCATATCACACAATAGAAAAAAAGCCAGAGAATATGATGTAATAGACAAAAGTCAGTGGCCTAGTGATAGTCTGGTGCATGTGTCAACGAACACCGGTTTATCGTTTGAACCTGTCCAGTCACTTTTTAGTGTCCCACTGCTCTATTGGTTATTTTCTTGTTATGACCTTATCTTGGGATTATTGTGCAATAACACTCCACATCTCACACAATACTTAGAATTAGAATTATTGTATTCCAAACAGTAACTTAATGTTTTGATTGTAAATCAACTGATTGCTGTTGTATTGTAAATAGTACAAACTCAGGCCAGCAGATGCCCTTACCCTTTGTTATGCAATCATACTGCTATTACTGTTGTTTCTGTAAAAACTTTGCCAGAATATCATAACTGTAGACTGTGTCATCATGTGGCGTAACATCACTTGATGAACTGACAATTTAATTATATTATAATTCGCATACTCCACTAACCCTGCAGATTCAACACCTCAGATCATTATTGGCTCTTCCTACAATAACACTTTATCAAAATAACTCTATTGCACATCTAGGTCAGATTTGGGGGTAGGGCATCTGGCCATCTGAGCTGATATGCAAACCCAACGCTCTGGCGGTCTGCAGCGAGCTATGACATCATGCGTTGTGGCATCACTTCCCTCTGAGGCAAGTCACTGCTGACTCGACTGGAGCGTGAACGCAGGGTTTGTTTATGTGGGCATGTTTGCATGACATCACAGCGTCATCACTGCCCAGCGCTGCAGCCTCTGTGCCACTCAGAGCACACTCTATGGAAGGGCTACACAAAAGGAGGTATTCTGCTACTGTTTCGTTATTTTATGGTTTAAATGCTTGTTTCGACGACGAATAATGAACAAAGGCCAAAGGGCAAGCAGCTCCTCTGACTCTGACGAGAAGCAACAATCAGAAGATGAGGATTCGAAGGACTTGACACAACATGGATCGAGTTCATCCACCGAGAAAACGTCGTCCAGCTCTGATGTGTTGTCAGCCACTCAGATGAAGAGGAGTCAGGGCTTTAACTGCTCTTTTAGCTTTGAAGAAGACCAAGCTGTACTGTCACAGAATGGAGTCCAAACTCAGCAACCAGAGAGCTCGAGAAGAGCGTCAGTCCCAGAGCTGGGGCCAGCGGCACACAACTCACATCCACTGGGACAGAGCATTTGTGAGACACAACCTCCAAGATCCAGTTTGTTCAGGCCTCAGGGCCTTTGGCTCGCAGTCACAAGGTGTCTGTCCATCAGGTGGCCTCCATGTTTGTCTCTCAACCGAATGGACAGAAGTAACAGGAAGCTGGCCTACCAAAAGGACTTTGACCAATCACAGAAGTCATTTTCAAGTGACAGTTTGGATTCAGCCAATCCGAACTCTTCCATTTTATCCACTTCATCTGAGGACATCAATGTGACCGTGGTGAAAAAGGATGAAGAGGAGGCAAAGAGCAGGGAGGTTAAAAGAGGTGCCATGTCCCGCTGGGGAGTGTCCCGATCCTCCCCAAGGTTACCTCGAGACAGACAGGTGTCAAATCTGCTGCTTGCTTCAATGATCCTGGAGAGAGACATGTTTCTGACAGTGGAGCTGATTGACCGTGGCGAGGAAGAGCATGAGTTACGTTATCAGGCTGAGTGGAAACTGACAGAGAAGAGTCGAGAGCTGGCGGCAGGACTATGGCCGTCTCGAACACTGATGGACTGATGTGCCTTTGACAGAGATGGATATCTGCCCTTTAAGTTCCACTGCAGCGGCACATTCAAATAATGATCCGATCATAGTGGGCTGTCTGCTGATTAGACATGGCCTAGATTTCAGTGAATAATCAGTATGATTGGTTTAGCAGGGAAGCAGTGGAAAACCACTGCGTGCTGATGTAGAAACAAATGCAGAGAGTGGAGCTAACTAATTAGACATGCTATTTTCAGAACAGACTGAGCTACAGCACAGTCTGTGATAATGTTTGTTTTTCAACCTTTCTTGATCCCAGAAAGCATTTTCTCCATGACCAAATCATTGTGTGGGAGTTATGCAAATTCAATTTGGTAAAAAAACAACAAGTGTTTCTAAATGTAATTAACTGCAATGCTTTATAATTATGTATTATGTATCTCATATGTTTTTACAACAGTTTTAACAAGTATCAAGTTACTTTGTTATTGCCATAAAAGAGCATGGGATACGTAACACCTCTTATCCATGCTCTCTTTTGGTTTAAATTGATTCAATTAATCCAAATCCTAATCATATCTAAAGGATCTGTCGGTATAACCTGTTACCCCATTAAACATTACTGAAAGTAGCGGATAAGAACTAGGCCCATGTCTCCTGCTCCAAGACATGTCAACATGTGCATGGTACTAAAGAGAAAATGCCATTGGTGTTGTGCCTCATATGCCATGACACATGACTGGTTAGCTCTGTCACAATACAAAGTATAATGCAAAATGAATATATTTTTGCAAGATCTTTTATTAAATAAAGGTTTGTACTGACTTTATCTTGGTCCATGTTGTATGGAAGCATACACAAAAGCAACAAGACTTTTTGTCATTTTTCACCCAAAATTGTGAGAAAGACCAGTGAGATTTAGCCTACGTGTGTTTGTAAATGCAGCTGGAAGGAGGAGTGAGGGTTATATAATGACATGAGGATATCCAGCACAAGAGTAGGACATAGTATATTTAGGGGAACTGAGGCAGACTGTAACAAACCGACATAATCAAAAACAAAACATGATTAACATTTCTTATATTTGCCCTTTTTAGTTATTACATTTCCTTATATGTAGTGTCACCTTAAAGTGAGAGTCTGATCTCAATGGCAAAGGGGACACACTGCACGCCACAGGAGGATGTATTGGTTCCTAATCTGTATGTATTGTTTCACTGCAAAGGACAAAGGACATATAGATTACAAAAGACTTATATGTACAAATACTGAATACCAGCACACAGAAATAGAAAAGAAATGAGCTGCTCTGAGAAATGTGGTGTCTGTTTATACTATTGATTGTAAGACTGGGCTTCTGGGGCCAAATAATTTGAGTTGCTGAGGTGTTGCTCGGTGAAATATGCAGTAGACTTTCCTCTGTTGTCTCAGATTATCCATCCAGCCCCAAGTCACAGAAACGGGGAGTACATTTCCTCTTTCATCTCAGTGCCTCGTTAGGAGCTGTAATTAGTCTTTCTCATGACCTATATTGACTCATTACTTACTTCAAAGAAATTCAATAGTTATATTTGCTCTTTAGTTGTTTCTTGGGGCTGTGTAAGACAAACATAAATGCAGTAGGTCTGTTAGGTTACAGCATGGTGTTTGTAGCCTATATGGATTTATTAATAGATGTCTCATTTGCTAAATAGCTCTAACTGTTTCATTATGCTGGATAATTTAATTTTTCAACTTGGAACAAAAAATAATTAGTGAAAGTAAAAATAAATCTACTTCAGAGATTGTAAATATTGTCACTAAAACTATGGCTAAAATGAATAATTATTTCATAATTTGACTATATTCTTTTTATGATTTATGACTTTTTAATGATTTATTTGTTGAATATTGACAAGAAGCAAAAATATAAACCATTGATTGTTTCTATTTTTGGGTATTTTCTTGTTTCTATGTTTGTCTAGTTAATGATTGTTGAGAATGGGACATTGAAATCAGATACTTGAAGTTCAAGTGTCATCACTATAACGAGAGTCTTTGGCAGCTGTAAGTCTTAACTATTGAACACATTCATGACAAATACAGATCCCTGTGAGTACCAAAGAGGAGAATGGTTTATCTTCCAGTAGATAAGCAGTGGCTTGTTTCTATGCGTGCATTGGCCTGTGCGCCTCATGCAGCAGTCTGTTTGAACACGGCCACATCTGCCCTACGTGCCCCACGCGCCCTCCCACGCCTCAGCGAGCAGCCTCAGGGACTCTCCAATACTGCATTCACAAGTGGACTTTGTTGTTCCATATATTGGCTCTGAACTTATATCAAGTGAACTTTATACTCCGCCACTCACACCACTCCTATTACCAATATATTTTTTATCATAGTTTTTTAGGGTTGAGCTAAATGTTATGATCCACTGCCATTTTTTTTTTGTTCAAAAGCTTTGAAAATAATAAGCTCACACGGTACTGTCAAAGTCAAACCATTTCCTTTAAAGCAGAAATGAAAAGGCTTGCCGTTTTGATTTCCTGAAATAAATTATGAATCTACACGTTTAGAGTCAAACACAAATGTGTGGAGGGAGTTATACAAGGATACATAATGACTAACTTCACTAACATTTACACTTATGATTTATTGCTAACCGATCCCTCCTTTTTCCAGTGAAGGAAGGAATCATCACGAATGTATAAGATTAAAAAGACAGCGTTTGCAAACAGCTGTGTACACCTCCATCTGCCACAGGTGTAGAATTTGAATTGGAGAGTGTCCGTGCCACTCTGCAGAGGACAAAGTAATTAACTGTGGAAATGATTAATCGGATTGAAGTCGTGGAGTGACAGCAAGGAGCGTTTAAAACAGGAGGCGATAGGAGGGAGAGAAACTTTCATGATGACATTTCAGATAAACATTTGAACATTGTGTCTTCTTTGCAGCTGGACTGGAATCGCCTCCTTTAGAGATAAAACATGTTCTTTCTATCTAATGAAGATTTCTCATAACGTCCATAAACTGTCAAGCGTTTCCCTAAGTCAGCATAGTCCGACTTCATGGCAAAATTTATCTGTAGTTCTTGAAAGATTTTGTTCACAAACTTCAATAAATCCTTCCAATTAACAGTGTGTAGGATTTGAATGTTCGGTGGAGAGACAGTAATCCCCAGGGAGCCTGCTCTGTATGGATGAATGTGGTGTTGTAATGCAGCAGAGACAGCTCCTTCATTCTGGGCACTGGCCTTTCTCACAGTGAAAAGTACTGCCGACTTTCTGGAGATGAGACCTATACATCCTCAGACAGCCTCAGAGTTTGAATCAGCAATAAAATAACATTCATATAGGTGCAATGTAGTTATCCAACCTGCCTTCATGGATAGTGCTTGTCATATCAATACCACCTTAAGCCAAGCAGGACTAGACATGTTTAGTAGTGTTATGTTTGCAGTGTATTGTTTTGGTATGTATATGGACTTGTATGAGTGGCTGTTGAGTTTGTATTTAATAAGTTCTTAGCTAAAGTAGCAGAATGGCAACATGAGGCGCCACAGGACACGACTGATGGAGCAACCTGGCTACCCACAAACTTACATACTTTTTTAAGGTCCAGGTGATTTTATTTGTACCTATAGGTAGATTTGTTTTGTGGCAGGAAAATCAGATTTCCATGATGTGTTCATTTCTGTTAGTAATTTTATTAATCCTCTATTTGCAGGACTCAACCACATCAAATTGGAAGAAGGGTTGAATCTTATATTTATTTTATTCTTTAAAATCTCAGTCAGACAGGGAACAACATAGGGGTGTCTATTCTCGCATGTTTATTTCAGTAAGAGAACTGTAATTCCCTATTATTGGTATGATTTACGTAACAAAATTGCTGCTCCTAACACGGACCGCTTATGAATATTAATCCTCTTAAATGGAGTGTGCTGTGATGTGAATGTGTCTCCATGGGCTTCTGTCGTCTAATTATAAACATTTGACCTACATAACCTCTGTGGGAGCAGCACTGCAGATAATAAGCATTTACTGACTAGTAACGGGATGAATCATGCAATATACATTACTACTATAATTAATATTCACTATTCTTTGTGGTTACTTTAATTCATGGCTGATCTGAGCTGCAATAACATACAATAGTAACGTATCATAATATTTGTTCACACGTACATCAAAAAGTAATTACTGAAAAAACTACAACTTAAGACACCAACTCAAAAAGACATTTAATTAAATTGTTATTTGGAGCTAATTCACACGGAAATGTTACTTTCCAGTTCCATGTATTTGGGCCATGTTTTGTTATTTTGATACTAAATCACTAAAAGTTAAAATAATGTTTTTCAAATCCATCAGTGTTCTGCCCATGGCTGTGTCACTTCTCACTCTTCCATCGACTCCCGCACTCGGCCTTGAGTCTCCCATAATCTGACGTCTGTTTGTGTGTGTATTTCAAACAAAGTTTTGCTTCTGAATATTGATTCACTGTGAATTAGTTAAACAGGAAAAAGTAGCATGACCTTTTTGTAGTTTAGGGGGAATTGAAAACCTTTTAATACCAATATGAGCTTGTTGTAATTGTCTCAAAGCCTAGCAACGTAGAAACAGGCACGAGTATTTGCCAGTACATCTGTGAGGAGGTGATTCTGCAGTGTTTTCCAAGGTCTGAGTTGATGGATACGTTCAATGCAATACTTTTATGTGTAGAATGATTTTGGCACAATATCTAGAGGCAATATTTCTGACTAACATTATGATTGCAATGTGATTTTTACTCATGTTCAATTCATTCAAAAACTTGTTTTTATCTTTCTCACAACATTCTTATAGTTTGACTTGAGTTTGAGCACATTTTGACAGTTTATATGAAATTATTAAAAGATGAAACTTCTCTTTAGAAAGGATAAAATTATGCTTTTGTCTGACAAGACAAAATATATACTTTTTTCCATTGAAAAATCTACTCATACTCAAGAGACATTTCCCCAAAATCAACTGAGTTTTTACTTATCTGTAGTCCTCTTTTTGCGATGTCTT